CCTCTCTCTCTCTCTCTCTCTCTCTCTCTCTCTCTCTCTCACTCTCTCTCTCTTTCTCTCTCTCTTTCTCTCTCTCTTTCTCTCTCTCAAATAAAAAACAGCCCGAATGAACTTAACGAAAACCCCAACGAAACCAAAACAAGAACCAACAATGTCGGATACATTCTGCAAAAGGAAAGACCAAGGGTTAAATATCAACGAAAGTAAAGGAATCGGATTTTGACGTCTTAAAAGCACCGGAATTCTAGGTTTGCTCGTCTCTAAACACGCCTACGGTGAGTGGAGGCTGTTACCATTAGAGAGCTGCGTGGATCTGGCACGGTCTTCGATTTTAGGTCACCAAAGGGAGAAATCACTGCATTCTAGTCTCCACCAGGACAAGACGAACGGGACTACACGTAATTGAACTTTCTGCATTGGAGTGGTGCGAATTCTGTCGGAGGTATTTTACGTTCTCCCCCTCTTTCCATTCCCGTCTTTTTCCCCATTAAAAAGAAAAAAAAAATTAAAGACATGATTTTACGATTTGTTCATCTCCTCCCCTGATGGCAATGTTTATGGGTTTTGGTCCTGTTTCGTTTCACTTTGCATTTTTGAAATAAATGTCAGTTTTGGTAACAGAAGGCTTACTTTGAAAAAACATCTGAGCGTTTTTCTTTTCTGAATACATTTTATTCACGAAATACCGCAGTAGGTGGATTTGGTTTGCTCTCTCAACAATTTTTTTGTTGGGGGGGCATGTTTGTTTCGTCTGATTTCATTTTGGTGTAAGTTTTCGTTCGGCATGGGGAAATGATGGATTTTTTTGGGTGGAAGTTTTTCTTTGCCGATATTATTTGCTTACCAGGTGACCCAAGAAACCTTGACCACGGAGACAGCCATAAAATGGTTAGAATAGAGATAGAAACACAAGATTTTGCAGGCGTACCTGGTCATTAACGGAATTTATTGCGACAAATTTACAAATAAAATGTTCAAGTTTGAAGGGAGTTAGAGTGCATGCCCCATATTGTGACGTCCGCTTTGGGCGATACACGGTCTGAGGCGCTTGACGAAAGTGTCTAAGACATTTCCATTTGCTCAGCCTTTGATGTACCTGGATCCTGTACGGTTTAAATTTCAGATCGTACTTCAACAAGCGCCGAACAAATTCTCTAACAATAGTTGATTCTTTACTATGACGATGAACTGACTTTTTAAGTTCTTCTCTCACAGACTCGGTCACCAGTGTCGCACTCTCAAGAGTGCGCACTTGCATCGGTCTCCCTCTGTGGGTGACCCTAGCTTTTGATCTCTTGTTTGTATTTTCAACTGAGTCTTGTGATAACAAGTATTGTTACTTCACTTGGTATTTTTTACGGGCTTTGGTGTTAATTCCAAATCCTTTACAGAAGAGATTCCGTGTCCGCATAGGGAACTTTGTTTCGATACATGTTTTAATCATAAAAGTACGTTATTCAACATTGAACTGCATCTTCGGAATAGCCATGGCTGCTTCCAAGGTACTGTTGTTTTGTTACGTGTTTCTCCTTCTGAATGGTTCAGCTTGCTGCCTACCTATTTTTTGTGTGAATTGTGCACTTTGGCGGAGAGTTATAGCAAAGATTCCCCACTACCGTAATGGAAAATCATTGGTTATAGGTTTTCCCGCGGATAAAGGTTTTTTTGGGGGTCAGGAGGTATATTATTATGCTTTGAGTTGATAAACCACATATTCAGCAAACGACTTATAAAGCCGATCTCACGGACGAAATTCATACCAAAAACGTTGGCATTCTGGTCGTTACAAAATAATCTGTTATGTGAGCCGTGTTTAGAAAGCATTTCAGAAAAAGTGGCACTAGAGTAGGCCACGAAGAGAAATCTCTTTCAAGTTTCGCAAGTACTCCGTTGTTGCTATTACTGTTGTTGTTATTTCTGCTGCTGTTAATTTTCAGTCGTATTTTACTCCAAGCAGTAATATAACCCCTACATCGAAGTACGAAGATGGGTAGGCTGGACCCCAAATCAAGAACGAGGAACGTTTTTCGGATGACACGTCAGCATTTGACATGTTGAAAGAAAAAGAGAAATGTGAGTCTACCCCCGCATCCTCCCCCCCCCCCCC